CCAACCGGCGGCGAGCGCGGAGCGGCTGCGCGGCCGGCACCCCCCCACACCGGGAGCGGCCTCCCGCCCGCCGCCCACCCCGGGGACGCGGGGCAGGAAAGCCACAGGGAAGGAGGTAAAGGAGGAGATACGTTACTAACGGAGTTGTAAGAGCCGAACCACCGAGCACCGCATGGGGTCTGCTGGGGAAAAGCGGGCTGTTTTCTGTGCCCCCTGTGGCCCAGCCCGGCTAATGGTGGCCAAAGAGTTAACCGGAAAAGAGAATTACAGATCGATAAGTTACAGATCAACCTCCCCACAGCTCCAAAAACAGCTGGGCGTGAGCGGTGAGCGGTTTGCTATGGAAGGGAACTGCCACCGTGACCCACTACGCCAGGGGAGGAGAACACGACAGGACAACAACAGTCCATCCATGAGGGCAACAACGGTCCGTCCGTAAGGACAACAGCAGCCCATCTGTGAGGACTGCAATGGTCCATCCATGAGGATGACCACGGTCTGTCTGTAAGGACAACGGCAGTCCATCCGCGAGGACTACAACAGTCCATCCGCGAGGACAACAGCAGCCCATCTGTGAGGACTACAATGGTCCATCCACAAGGATGACCAGGGTCTGTCCTTAAGGACAACAGCAGTCCATCCATGAGGATGACCGCGGTCTGTCCATAAAGACAACAGCAGTCTCTGAGGACAACCCCAGCCCCTCTGCAGCCTCGGGGCTGCCCTCCCCATGAGGGGGTGGTGCAGAGCCCACCCTGTGGGCATCAGCTCCACGCTCCTGCGCCCTAAACCCGAGCGATTAAAAGTAGATCTTTTTTAAATAACACAACCATTTCCTGTGTACCGTAAGAATATTCATTTTATGTGTCTTTATAAAGTTTATATAAAATGTCTACAAAGTCCAGGAATATTTATCCATACATTTTACCCAAAAGTACTTAAAATATTAACAAACGTTGTTCTCTTTACATCAATATTTTTAAACGAAGGAACTATTCCATAATTTAGAAAACCAAGGGTTACTCATCATTGCTGCAAGTAAAACAAGAAATGCCAATGACAGGCCTTTAGCAAGAGACTGGGAATATGGTTCTCCTGAAAAAAAGAAAAAAAAAAAAAGTAAAAAAAAAGTATTAGCATACAGGAGCTAAATTTTAGTTTACACAACAACGCAAAGTATATGCATAAAAAAAAAAAAAAAAGGAAAAAAAAAAGTATTAGCATACACGAGCTAAATTTTAGTTTACACAACAACCCAAAGTATATGCATAGCCTGAATAAAATAATGGAGCACAAAGCAAGGAATTAAGATGCTTCATACTTATAAAGCTTCATACTTGGTATAACTTTAGTTCCTGAAGTTGTGCAGATAATAAACACGGGCTGGTGCCTCTCTCCATGCAGCTCTTGGAACAGAGCGCAAATGCCTCCATGCCTTTTGAAAGGCCAGATAGTTAATCTACAGAGTCTCCCCCAAAACATAATCCAGCACAGTTTTACACAGAGGAAATCTTAAAATTATGTTTTACCAAAATGGCAATTTTTTACTGGAACTCACGTGGAAAACCAAAAGTGGCAAAGTGGGAAACACAGTCTCCCTCCACCCTTTGAGGGCGATGACACGCACTGACAAGGCTACAATTACAATAGGAAATGGAACCAGAATGCTGTCATGAAGTGATTTATTCTCCCTCCAAACTCTACAGGGGAGTGAAAAAGAATCTCTGCCAAACAGATATTCACAACATTTCCATCTTATCCACAAAGTCCACCTAGTAGTTATTTTTTCTACTAGTCTTGCTAAAAAATTAATGCATTATCAAGGAAAAAATTAAGACTAACAGAAATTTTAATTCCCTGCTACAAAACATTCTTTCAAACTAAACCCCACACATCTAATTACGTTTCAAAGAAATATGGCCAGTTCACAGCATTCCACACTGCTTATTGGTTTTACCTGTATAAAAGCGTGTCACTGGATAAAAAAGTTGTTGCCAGCACACATCATTTCGATTGCAGTCAAATTCTGTATAATTAATCTGAAATCTGAGAAAAAAAGGAAAACAACAGGTTTCTTAACTACAGGACCAGAGCGCCAGCAGAAGCGGAAAAAAACAGAGTGAAAAGGTGTCCAGGTTACAGGAAAAAACAAAACTAAACCAAACCACAAGCTTCTTGTTATTCTGAGGTTTTTTTTCTTTAATAACAACAGGACCCTCCACTCCATTTCTGACATTTTAAGTCAGATGTGTCTTTTTGTGATGAACGTTTTCAGACAATGGATAGTTTGGGAGCCTCACTCACCATCCCTTGTCCATTTTCAGACAATGGATAGTTTGGGAGCCTCACCATCCGTTGTCCACTCAAGTAACCACCACAGAAGCTTGTCTGCTAAAACCAAATGACAGCTTCCCAGGGTGATTTACAGCCCTTCATGTTCTTCTGGGGACATAGAAGAATTGAGACTCAATATTTACAGCCCTTCATGTTCTTCTGGGGACACAGAAGAATTGAGACTCAAATCTGTGAACCAGGCCTTCCTGCTCCACTAAACCAAAGTAACCTTTTGATCAATGCTATTCACATCTGCTTAACACAATGTGAAGTATCCATATTTTTAAAATTACCTTGTCAATGGAATGGGTGGCTGAGCTGGCACTTTAATAAACTGAACAGAAGCAGTGATAGGAAGAAAGCTGATGCTGTTTTCACAGATAAGCCCACACTGGAATTGCCATATGACCGTTGAGTAACTGTAAGAATATGCGTAACTATTACTTGAGGGCTGTAAACAGACATTTAGAGCCTAAACATAACCATGAAAGGACAAAATACGTGGTATTTAGGAGGTGGTTAATGATCTCTGGATTTTCAACACCATACAGGGAGAGAACTTGCAAAGTCTGGAAATGTGGTAACACGGAATAGAATCCCGTGTGATTGATTGGGATTGACTTGGGAGGAGGAAAAAAAAAAAAGAAAAAAAAAAGCATTTGTTAAGTGAAAATTGGGGCTTTCGGGAAATAATAAAGCATTTACCACAGCTCTCAAGAAAAGCTCTACATTGAGATAAGCCAAAACACAGACAATGTTATCACTTCCACCATGTGACAAGAATTTAAAACATTCTTCTGATGGAATGCCCTTCATATGCCAACTACTGGCAGCATCATAGATTTTATTTAATATTTCAGTGAATTAGAAAGACTATCTACAAGATTATCTACTGTTACCCATTACTATTTTTTTAATTATTATTTTCATTTCAGAGGGTAAAAGGCAAACCTGGTTGTGATCAAGGAATCTGGGGTGCAAATACAAACAAAAGGTGTGTAAAAAATTAGACATAACAAAATAACACTGTTTGTAAAATTTGTTCTGGATATGTTAGGTAAGCAAGCCTCAAAATGAAACATTTGTTTGTCAGATAGCCTCTACCTGATCTGCACAGCAAGAATCTCTCTCCAGGGAACCCCTTGTACTGCACCCACATCAGCAAAGATTATGCGAATATTCAGATTTGCAGGAATATCTGGACAAATGCCTTTTAAGTTTCCACTGCTCACATTGGTATCAGAATTAAATGGATCAAGACCTGTTGTGGAGAACAGAGTTATTTAAATGGAAATATGGTGGAGATCTTATATTTTCCATAATTATTGTCATAGTCCAGTAAAATACTGGTAACACACAGGAACACAGTAAAAAATACACGTAAAGAAAAGGAGTACTTTATCAACAAAGAACTAAAATATCAAGCCATATGTGTACTGGCTGACAGTAAAATGTGTGTTAGTGCAGCATCCATATACATATTGAGTTACATGCATGTGTGTACACATATATGGATGGATGGATCCAGACACACAGATCAATCTCTTTAGGCATTTGTAATTACAGTTTGGTTATTTTGAGATATTTATCATATGGGCATGTTTGGACTATAAACAATAACACAACCTCACTTACGTATAATTTCCACCCAGTCATTTAGATCACTGTAACTTGAATTCTCCCTCTTTCCAACGTGAGTAGCTTGTATTAATGAATTCAATTTCTCAGTTACATTTCCTCTGCAAAATAAGAATGTAAGATTACACAAAGAGTAAATCTGTACTGTCTACCACTCTGAGTTGCAATATTATTGTATCATAAGGTCAGTTTCCTCTAAAAGATGTTATAACAACAAAAACAAACTTGAACTATTGAACTATCTGTTGAATGGAAGAAATGGCAAAGCATTCCACTCCAACATAATCCTCATTGGAATACAGAGAGATCTAAGTGAAACCATTATTATTCATTTCCTTTTTTTACAAAAAAAGTGAAACTATCAACCACAGAAAGCTGAAATGCATGTATGATCATTTAAAAAGAAAGTAACAGTGCCGATAGTAGACACTTGTAGAGAATCATGTAATAAGCAACATGAGGGATGCAGGGGAAAACAATTCAACCTATGTAGCTCACCTTAAAAGGCTGCAATCTTCATTAATACCAACT